ATACTAATACTGATATTGATACTGAAATTGATACTAATATTGATACTCATATTAGTATTAATATTACTATTTTTATCAGCATGAGTATCAGTATGAGTAACAATATTAGTATATGTATTAATATGAGTATCATTATTAGTAATAGTATTAGTATTAATATTAATATTACTATGAGTATCAATATGACTATCAACATCATTATCAGTATTAACATCAGTATCAGTATCAATATCAGTATCAATATCAGCATCACTATCACTATCACTATCAGTATTTGTATCAATATCAGTAAGTATTAGTATTAGTATTAGTATTAGTTATTAGTATAAGTATTAGTATTAGTATTAGTATAAGTATTAGTATTAGTATTAGTATTAGTATTAGAATTAGTATTAGTATTAGCATTAGTATTAGTATTAGTATTAGTATTAGTATTAGTATTAGTATTAGTATTAGTATTAGTATTAGTATTAGTATTAGAATTAATATTAGACTATTAGTATTAGTATTAGTATTAGTATTAGTATTAGCTTTAATATTAGTATTAGTATTAGTATTAGTATTAGTATTAGTATTAGTATTAGTATTAATATTAGTATTAGTATTAATATTAGTATTAGTATTAGTATTAGTATTAGTATTGATATCAGTATTAGTATCAGTATTAGTTAGTATCAGTATTGGTATTAGTATGTGTATCGATATTAATTAGTATCAGTATTAGTATGGATATTAATTAGTATAAGTATTAGTATCGATATTAATATCAATATTGGTATCCATATTGATATCGGTATTGATATCAGCATTGGTATCAATAAAGGCATATACATCTTATCTCTTTTGCAATATTTATAAGTTGTATTGTTGTTTGAGTAATGTGCATCACTAATTAAACGCGGTTAGTAATAAACTTACAGGTTATTTGAATATTTATTGTGTTACTTCTCTGCTACCGTGTTTGTTGTTAAGTTAGTTATTTTGCAAAAGATTGACACTGTGTAGTAGGTTGCATTCACCTCGAAATAGAGTTATACCATATGTTTTAAGTGATTTCACTTAATCTTCATATCGTGTTTGCGCGCTTCACGTTTTCTTCGTTGTAATATTTAATTTAATTTCATATGTTAAAACTCTGAATTAAGAGATAAAGTTTATGATTTTTTTATTTCCTTCCATTTTGTTTTACTTGAATTGGTGTTGTTATAAAGAGATAGTCGTTTACATATTATTATTTTTCTCATTTTAAAACTGACCTCCGTGCAACGCACGGGTGAAGAACTAGTATTTTATATAACACTATTTTGTTTAAATTTTACATATTAAGATTTATAATCCAAATATATAGATATAGATTTAACCTATCGAATTTCTATCTTTATCTCTTAAAATTTGAAATACATTAATGAAAAATAAGAGATTGATAATTTTTGAAAATTAGTAGAGAAAAAATATTAAAAATAAATAATTAAATAAATACCATTAGGGTTTTTTAGGGTTGCTCAGCGTTTCTTTCTTTTTATATATAAAGATTAGTAGAGAAAAAATATTAAAAATAAATAATTAAATAAATACCATTAGGGTTTTTTAGGGTTGCCCGGCGTTTCTTTCTTTTATATATAAGATATAATCTGCTACAAACTTATCGAAAAATACAAAAAATGTGCATATTCCAATACGAATTAATGTAATCTACTACTAATTACAACTCAAAAAAAAAAAAAAAAAAAAAAAAAAAAAAAAAAAAAAAGTTAATCCACTTTTGGTTTCAGGTCGGTGAATCCGCAAGTTTCTTCCTAGTTCCTCCCCTCAGCAATTTCACCAAAAAAACCATCAAGAACAAAAAATTGAATACAATAGTGGTTTCGATAAAATTTAATTAAAAAGATGGGGCCATTTGATATACACCCCTAGAATGGAAAATATATAGGGATAAGTCCACCCCTAAAATTCTTTTTTTGAGATACACCCCTGGAGGGGCAAAAGTACTATTATGCCCTTATTTGTAAATTTTAACCAACTACAGTCAGCTTTTCCAACTGCATTCAACATTATTGCTAACTGCACTCCACATTTTTAGACCTGCATTTATCATTTTTTCAGATTTTTTAATATAAAATTATAAATTTTTATTTTATTATTATTTTTTTATACGTACCATCTTTTTGTATTTTTTTAATTTTTTAATTTTTTAATTTTTAATTTTTTAATTATTTTTAATTTGTAATTTTTTTTAATTTTATTTTTTTAATTTTTTTATTTTTTTTTATTTTTTAATTTTTTAAATTTTTTTTTTAAATTTTTAACTTAATGTACTGAAATTGACTACACATGACTATAGTATACCACAGTCATGTATAGTTATATATAGCCATGTACTGTTTATTTACCCCAAAGTTATGATCGATCGATTATAAAAACCGTTGATTATATATATAAAAAATCATCTATACCAATAAAAAAAATTCAAAATTTGATTCTTGATATGATAAATAATTTAATGCCTAACAAAAAAGTGAAAAAAAAACACAATCATCAAGATCACTATACATCAGAAAACCCACATAGCTTGTATATAAATATATATAACTACATGGAACTATAGATGACTACAGTTATATATACGACTAAATTTGACTCAAATCGCACTTGTCAACACGAGAACTGCTTGTTTTGAACAACGAACACAATCCACTCCGCAAAAACTTACTACATAGTAATTCAAACACCAAGACCTGTGAAAACGAAAAAGAGTTAAACAAACAACGAATTTTGGTTCAAATTTAAATGTGCACACACGCACTAACCCACTGGTATACATAGATACTCCCCACATAACTCATGCATGACTACATATAGTTTATATATAACTATATATTACTACATGTGACTACACCATATATTATTGTATGTTACTACACGTAACTATATATTACTACATGTGACTACACCATATATTACTGTATGTTACTACACATGACTATATATGACTACATGTATATGACCACATGTGACTATATACGTGCATGTGACTTTATTTGTCCCTTCAAGTACCTGACTTTGTTCTCCAAGCGATACGACACAGCTTATATTATCAAAATCAAATTACAAACAGAGTATGCTAGTCATTATTCTTCGTATAACCAAAGGTCAAAGATCAAAGCAAGTTGAAGTGGAACACCATAGATAAAATAATAGTTGAAACACACGTAAATTAGTCACCTATTTCATTCTCGATAAATAAAATATGAATATCATATTACCAACAAAATATTCTCATCACGAATCTACATATACTCCCAAGTATAAAAACAAAAGTAAACAAATCATTTGAGGACCAATAAACAGTGATTCAATATATTAAGAAGCACATTAAAATTCATTACCTTGTCTATGCATTCAATGGATGAACAGTCAGTTTTGTCGCACCACCACCAGGAACAAGTTTCGAGTTTTTTTTTATTATATTTCTTGCCACAACAATCACGTTTTATGTACAAGTCAACTCCTAAAATTAAACTCACTGCTTCACAAGAAAAAAAAAGAAAAAAAATTAAAACCAAAACTCAAAAAATAACTGCAAAATTCGATGATGGCTGTACAAAAAATACTTTGGTGAACTCAAAAAATACCTGCAAAATTCGAATTACATTACATGAAAAATACAAAAAAACAATGAAAAACACTTTATTGATAAATTTACTTCGGTGAACTATAGTCACAAGTAGTTATGTGCATTATTGTTACTGCACATGACTAGATATGACTATATGTAGTCATCAACTATAGTCAGATGTAGTTATGTTCATTCTTCTTACTACATGTGACTATATATGACTCCAGGTATACGATCACATCTACACCACTAAAAAAGTTCCCAGCAGTTTAAGATAATGAATTATGATCTGTTCTACTTTCCTCGATTGTCGTTGTCGAATGTTGTTCTAACATTCATTATACATTATTAAAAAAAACAGGAATACAACAGACAATTGTAAATAAATAGAAAATAACCTAAGTGTTGAAAGAATCAAGAAGAAAGTTTCCAATATATCCATGGAAGAACAATTGAATAGTCAATATAATATCATAAATGTTGATATTTGAAGTGTTAGCAGCAGAATGTTTAACAGGACATCAGTAGCCAAATTTCTATTAAAAATAAAAAATAATAAAAAAATTGAAATCAGTGGCCAAAATTTCTATTAAAAATTTAAAATTAAAAAATTGAAAAATAAGTAACAATTTATTGACTGCAAATCAATTGATTTTTTTTTATCAAGAAACGACATCCTGATTAAAAAGTTGAGGAACCCTAATTAAAAAGTTCAATCAGTAATGTTGTGTACCATTGAATACATATATGTATTCCTCCAGGCGTGTACTCTCCTTTCGTGCACCTAGAATGAGGCGATCCATATTCAAAACTAGGAGGTTTTTTACTAGAAGAGAAAAAATCTTAGGACCTCCTCATATATATTTTCAAAACTAGGGGGTTATCACTCATTTACCCTAAAAAGATATTAGACTTTAATTATAAATAGTTACTTCAATTAATACGTTCTTGTCAATTATTAAGTTTCATTGATTCAAATATTTGATTAACGTTTACTAACTGAAATAATTTGAGCTTAATCAATCAAATTTTACTATTTGATTAAACTAAATATTAAAAGAAAAATCACAATATAGTATTTTGAGTATATATATTTATTTTAAAGTAAGAAAACTAATTGGAATGAGTTATAATATAAATATTTTTCTTCAAAATAAACATCTTATTTTATTTTTTATTCGAATTCCTAACACTATCTATTTAATTAACCTAAGTGAGATTGTATTAAGTCACGCATTTGTTTATATTTAATTGAGTATTCTTTATATTTTTCAACAGTAGATTTTAATAATGTATATAATTAATAATAAATGTTTGGGGATATTGAACCGGAGTTCTTTATGCTTTTTAAACTTTATTATATTAATATTTTTAATAATTTATTTTACATTATTTATTATCACTTTACATTATGTCTTGCCAATATATAAAATGATTGTTAGAATTGTTTATATAAGTTAATGTAATACAAACAAAATTAATTTGTATTTTGTAATTAAAATCAAAATTATATTCCAATGTGGAGGAGTAGATCGGCCCGGCAGTAAGACAGTGGGTCCAGCCCACTCCACAAAATCCAGCCCATTTACATAGCTCTATATATAACAAACAACAAACAATGCAAGGGAATAAACAACTAATTAGGGCTTCGTTGAGAGGAGAGCGAGAGACATGGGATCAAACGGCTTTCTGGACCGCAGGAAATCGAATTATGATATGCAAGGTAATAATCACGGATATATTTTTTAAACTCAAGTTTAATCCTGAGTCCGAAACCGAAACCGAAACCGAAACGGTAGCGGTGAAACGCCGTTCAAGGATAAGCAGGCTACTCAGACAAGTCAAGGAATTGTGCAAGCTCGTTACTTTCAAGACCGAAACTTTTTTTTTTTTCATTAAATTATTCAGCTCCAATTGATTTTTTTTTTTTTTATCCTATGTACAAACTACTACTATGTGTCGGTAGACGGCTGTGGCGATCGAGATTTCGGTTGCATTTTGTATTATAAGTTTCGGTTGTATGGTTGAGATGCATGTATGGTTATTTGTTCGTATTTTATGCTTTGTAGTGATCTAGTTTATTGTTGTATGAACTTTGGTACTTGAAACTGGGGCAAATTAGTACTGTGCAATTTTGTTCTTAGTACTTTGTGATCTGTCATGTTTTGCAGAAATGACCTCTAATGAGAAGTGTGCGCAATTTTCCGGTTGTTCGCCCTCGAGCTTTAGGGATACGATTGATAAAGTAAAATTAAAGATGGGACCGCGCAATTGGAGGCTATCAAAAGCACTCCATTTGGAATTTTTCTGAATATGCCAAACCTTAGTCATAGTTTGACTAAGGTGTTAGTCGTGATGAGACGTTTTCAGGCTAATACAATGTCGTTTAGGTTTGGAGAAGAAATTGAGGTACCTTTTGTAGCCTCGGAGTTTTCTATGGTGATGGGGTTGTGGTATATCGGGCAACCTATTGACTTAAAATTGGAGATGAAGTCTTCAATTTTTGACGAACTATTTTGCGGAAAAAAAGAAAAGACTTTCAGAAATGAATTAGCTGACCTATTAGTAGATTTAGCTTGTAAGGGATGATTGTATAGATGATTTTTGTAGAACATATATTCTTTTTGTTTGTAACTGTGTATTATTTCCTCAAGGAAACTATTCGACCCCGTCGTTTATTTTTCCGTATTTAGAGGATTTGTCGGATTTAGGTTCTTATGCCTGGGGAAAAGCGGTGTCCGATTACTTGATCGGTGAAATGAGGGCAAATGCAACTGGAAAGAAGACGTACGTCAATGGTTGCACAATCGGATTATTAGTAAGTAATATATGTTTTAATATCAATTTTTATTTGTATTTTGATTCTTAATTTCCATAACATATGCATTGTTATAAAATTGGCAGGCTTGGTTATATGAAAGGGTCCCCTCTATCGGGTCCCCGACAAGCTTGAGCCGATTCCCTCGATTTTTCCGGTGGGACAGCAGCAAGACAGGCCGAGAAGAGTCGAAGTTTCAAAAAGCACTAAGTGAACTTACAGCTGAAAAGGTAATAACTTGTTGGTACCACTAGTTTATTTTCTCTATTTATGCAAAATTGTGAAGTACACTGATAACAATTTGTGTTAATTATTTGTTTGCTTAGGTTGTTTTGTTTATTCCAAAATCCGAAGAGAGCAAGTTGATCAATCTTCCAGCCACTTGTTTGGATGATTGCACTAATAGTGGATTTAACGGAGCAGAAGTTCTTCTCGAAGCGAGAGATGTTGAAATAATAATTTTGAAAAAGAAAATTGAGGAGCTAGAAGCTATTCTTCAAGCTAGAGATCAAGAAATAATAATTTTGAAGAAGAAAATTGAGGAGCTAGAAGCTATTCTTCAAGCTAGAGATTAAGAACTTGGTGGTGCGAATAAATCTTGCAAGTAAAATTAGTGCAGATTGAGAGAATATTTGGTTAATTGCATTTTGTATTTGAAACTGGGGGAAATTAGTACTCTGCAATTTTGTTCTTAGTACTTTGTGCTCTATCATGTTTTATTAGTGCAGATTGAGAGAATGTTTAGTTAATTGCATTTTGTTTACTAATTTTAGGTTGTATGGTTGAGATGCATGTATGGTTATTTGTTTTGTAGTGATTTAGTTTATTGTTGTATGAACTTTGGTATGAATTTTAGTATTTGGAAGTGGGGGAAATTAGTACTGTGAAATTTGGTTCTTAGTACTTTGTGTTCTGTCATGTTTTGCAAGTAAAATTAGTGCAGATTGAGAGAATATTTAGTTAATTGCATTTTGTATTATAAGTTTCGGTTGTATGGTTGAGATGCATGTATGGTTATTCGTTCGTATTTCATGCTTTGTAGTGATCTAGTTTATTGTTGTATGAACTTTGGTACTTGAAACTGGGGCAAATTAGTACTGTGCAATTTTGTTCTTAGTACTTTGTGATCTGTCATGTTTTGCAGAAATGGCCTCTAATGAGAAGTGTGCGCAATTTTCCCGTTGTTCGCCCTCGAGCTTTAGGGATACGATTGATAAAGTAAAATTAAAGATGGGGACCGCACAATTGGAGGCTATCAAAAGCACTCCATTTGGAATTTTTCTGAATATGCCAAACCTTAGTCATAGTTTGACTAAGGTGTTAGCCGTGATGAGACGTTTTCAGGCTAATACAATGTCGTTTAGGTTTGGAGAAGAAATTGAGGTACCTTTTGTAGCCTCGGAGTTTTCTATGGTGATGGGGTTGCGGTATATCGGGCAACCTATTGACTTAAAATTGAAGATGAAGTCTTCAATTTTTGACGAACTATTTTGCGGAAAAAAAGAAAAGACTTTCAGAAATGAATTAGCTGACCTATTAGTTGATTTAGCTTGTAAGGATGATTGTATAGATGATTTTTGTAGAACATACATTCTTTTTGTTTGTAACTGTGTATTATTTCCTCAAGGAAACTATTCGACCCCGTCGTTTATTTTTTCGTATTTAGAGGATTTGTCGGATTTAGGTTCTTATGCGTGGGGAAAAGCGGTGTCCGATTACTTGATCGGTGAAATGAGGGCAAATGCAACTGGAAAGAAGACGTACGTCAATGGTTGCACAATCGGATTATTAGTAAGTAATATATGTTTTAATATCACTTTTTATTTGTATTTTGATTCTTAATTTCCATAACATATGCATTTTTATAAAATTGGCAGGCTTGGTTATATGAAAGGGTCCCCTCTATCGGGTCCCCGACAAGCTTGAGCTGATTCCCTCGATTTTTCCGGTGGGACAGCAGCAAGACAGGCCGAGAAGAGTCGAAGTTTCAAATAGCACTAAGTGAACTTACAGCTGAAAAGGTAATGACTAGTTAGTACCACTAGTTTATTTTCTCTATTTAATGTAAAATTGTGAAGTACAGTGATAACAATTTGTGTTAATTATTTGTTTACTTAGGTTGTTTTGTTTATTCCAAAATCCGAAGAGAGCAAGTTGATCAATCTTCCAGCCACTTGTTTGGATGATTGCACTAATAGTGGATTTAACGGAGCAGAAGTTCTTCTCGAAGCGAGAGATGATGAAATAATAATTTTGAAGAAGAAAATTGAGGAGCTAGAAGCTATTCTTCAAGCTAGAGATCAAGAACTTGCTGGTGCGAATAAATCTTGCAAGTAAAATTAGTGCAGATTGAGAGAATATTTAGTTAATTGCATTTTGTATTTGAAACTGGGGGAAATTAGTACTCTGCAATTTTGTTCTTAGTACTTTGTGCTCTATCATGTTTTATTAGTGCAGATTGAGAGAATGTTTAGTTAATTGCATTTTGTTTACTAATTTTAGGTGGTATGGTTGAGATGCATGTATGGTTATTTGTTTGTATGTCATGCTTTGTAGTGATTTAGTTTATTGTTGTATGAACTTTGGTATTTGAAACTGGGGCAAATTAGTACTGTGCAATTTTGTTCTTAGTACTTTGTGATCTGTCATGTTTTGCAGAAATGGCCTCTAATGAGAAGTGTGCGCAATTTTCCCGTTGTTCGCCCTCGAGCTTCAGGTATACGATTGATAAAGTAAAATTAAAGTTGCAGGTGTCTTATAGTACTTTATTACCGCAGATGTTGTACTTTGGAAACATTAAAACAAATTATCTCAAAATGTAATTATCCTAAAATGCGAGGGCTGATTTTATAATTATAGGAAAATGAAAGGAAACAATGGATGATGCAAGCAGTATAATAATAATAAAAAGGAAAATATCCTACACACTTCAATCTCTTCTTTCTCAAACCCTAATTCGCTCTCCTATCCCTAAACGCCAATGCGCTCTCCAAATTCTATTTTTTTCTTTCAAGACCGAAACTTTTCATCCCAAAATCATCGATTTATGGATCACTAAGAAGACCGTTCGCCGATATCTTTTGGGGTTTTTTTTTCATTAAATTATTCAGCTCCAATTGTTTTTTTTTTATCCTATGTATAAACTACTATTATGTGTCGATAGACGGCTGTGGCGAAGCTCGAATACGATCTAGATTTTGCCGGCTATAACGACCCCGCAGCCGCGCAAAGATTCAAGGGTTACGTTCAATTTGCAATCAACTATGTAACTTTTTTGCCTTTTTGTATTCGATCAACCAAATTTAAGGACAACTTGCTTATTTTGTGCGTGTTTTTTGTGTCCAAATACGAGTTGGTGGAAGTGTTGAGAGCATTCAAAAGTCTACCAGTCAGTTACATTTACTCATTGTATTTCATCTTTACCGCCAAGATCGACGACGATGGTGATTCCGCTCCCAAAACTTTTAAAGCAATTATCGGATTTTCGATGCATAAAGTTGTCCTGTTTTTCGTTGACATTGTCGATGCGTCTGCGATTTCGCCTCTTGCTGGTTAGTGATACGATCTCTTCAGTATCATAAATATTTCCTACGAAACGTAAGATTTATTCTTTAATATTTATCTCTGCATAATAAAAACCCTAGCACAAGACGACTATTTAAAGATAATAAACCCTAGAATCCTAATCTAACTAGGAAAGGTAATTACCTATACTAATTAAATACCTAATAATCTCCTAAACCTAAACACACGACCTTATATATATATTATAAATATACTAATCTTATTAATTAATAATAAAATACTAACTAAACAATTAATTAAATAATATATTAAAGAATAAATCGTATCAAACCACCCCTCTTGAAATGAACCTTGTCCTCAAGGTTCGAGTCACTATGGTCCCTCTCCTTTGCGTTTCCACCTATGTTTGACTTCATCGACTTGCTTTCCGATTGACTCCGAAAAATACGATGAACGACCAAGCTTTTTACCACATTGTTCATGCTGAACCAATGAAATTCCAAAGGCTACTTCAGCAAAAATATTCAATATTTTTCCCGACAAATAAACTTTTTCCATCGTCTTGTTAGCTTTTATCTCATCCAAACTGACCATCGGTTCTTCGTATCTTTTCTTTTGAACACCATGGAAATCTCCTAATATCCACTGTGTCTCTTCGTTCTCCTCCCTGGTTAATTTCTCGTCTTCGTCCCACTTTATCTCAGTTGACTCCGATTCTTCTTCTTTCGGCTCTTCGTCCCACTTTATCTCAATTGAATCCGATTCTTCTTCTTTCGGTGAACTCACAAAAATTTGGGGTTCTTCGAAAAAGGCATCGTCGTCCTCTTCCTCTCCCTCCGGCGATAGGCTCGGCAGCGGCGCCGGTGGTGGCTAGCTCTTTGAAAAATTCATCGTCGTCCTCTTCCTCTTCCTCCGGCGATAGGCTTGGCAGAGGAAGCAACGGTGATGGCGGCGGTGGCGTTGGCGGTGATGGGCGGCGGTCCCTTTGGCTTTTGTGATGGCGTTGACTTCGTCCTTTACTTTGTTCGAGCAATTTCTGAAAATCAATCCGTAATCTCTCTACGGATTTCTCCAATCGCTCTAACCGTCTTGTTTCGGACATCATGATTTTCACAAAGTTTTGATGTGATCTCAACTTTGCTCCAGCTTAGCTTTGATATAATCTCTGCTTTGCTAACGAAGCGTTGGTATTATCGCAAACTTCAACTGGTATTATCGCAAACTTCAACGAAGCGTTGGTGTTATCGCAACTTCGCTCTGATACCAATTGATGCGATCTCTTGTGTATCATAAGATTTCTTTACTGAACGTAAGAAAACTCTTCTTTATTATTTCTCTTTGCATAATAAAAACCCTAGCACAAGATGACTATTTAAAGATAATAAACCCTAGAATCCTAATCTAACTAGGAAAGGTAATTACCTATACTAATTAAATACCTAATAATCTCCTAAACCTAAACACACGACCTTATATATATATTATAAATATACTAATCTTATTAATTAATAATAAAATACTAACTAAACAATTAATTAAATAATATATTAAAGAATAAATCGTATCAGTTAGCTGCTTGCTATAGGTAAATTACTTGCTCCCGACTTTTTTTCTTATGTTTTCGAAATATGGTACACACAGAAATTGAGTTAGCGGCGGCTACGGTTCTTCTTTCTTGTCTGATTGGTCCTAGGTAAGGAGAGTGGCAAGTTATAACAAGAATTGATGCCCCATGGTCGTAAAATATAAGGTTAAATGCTAATTAAATTATAACCCGAAAAGATGGAAACCGTAAAATGTGGTTTTTGTTTGTTTATGTTAACAGTTAGTTTGAGAATGTTGATATCATTTGGCATGAGTAGCGGTACTAATCGGATGGATTGAATCGAAATTAGCACTTTCGAAGAAATTCCTTTCTTATTGGAAGTGGAAAATTGGAGTGAAAAAGTGTTTCGAAAATCAGAAACTTTCGGATATGGATCGGGGGAATTCGAAAATACCTAATTTTTTAGTCACCTAAAATAGTATACATAATTATATTGATATTATACCAGGGTAATATTTGGAGAGAAACAAAAAATTGGAATTTTCGGAATTTTTTTGGAAAATCGGATTTTTCGGAAATTTTTGGGAAAATCGGAATTTTTGGAAATTTGGATGTGATATTATGAGTGCTCAAAACATATTTTTACTGTATTATGCTTTTTCACTTGAATTTAACAGCACCTGGGATTTTCCATTTGCAGGTAACTCCGAGCTATATGATGCCTCTGGAATTCGATGTCGGTGTTCTTAATGTTTATTTCGTGCATTTAGAGAATCTCTTTCTATCCGATGTATGGTGTGGAGCTATATGTATGTAATTAACTTACTTATGTTGAAAAATCGGTTGCTACTGCGATTCTTGTTTTAGGCCGACGAGGTTTTTTAACGAGGCCCGTATTTTTATTAATAAGATGATGTAAACATCTTTTGAAAAGAAAAAGGAAAAGTAATACTAGTCTGACAGGTGTATTTAATTGGGTAGTGTTTTTTTAATAAGGGTGATCCAGCCATATTTTCAATATTAGTAGAAAATCCACTATTTTAATGATTCTCGAAAATAGCCTTCTGAAAGACGCACACACAAAATCCGAAAATTTGAGATCCCTACAATCGTGTGTGATTATATCCCAAAAATTCGCTTCCCAAATCTTTCCATAAACTCCCATCTGCAAACTCTAATTTTTTTATATATAATTTAAATAAATTTAAATTTTCGTTTTTTTTATTATTTTATTTAAAAACTAACAATAATAGCTTTAAAAAATATTTTTCTTTTAATTTTTTATTTAAAAATTTTTTTAATTTTTTTTTTTATTTTTTTAATTTCCATTTTTTTTTGTTCGGTATCAACTATAAAGATTCTAAAACCAACTATAATATTTCCGAAATCGACTATAATTTAGATTTTTTTATTTCATTTTTCTTAATTTGAATTTTCAGTTATTTTTGGTATTTTTTTTTCGAGAAAACAACTATTTTTTGCCATGTTTTAATAAAAAAACAACTGTAAATTGTAAAAAAACTATTATAAAATAACTATTTTTTCCAACTGTTCGTTTTTTTCGCCATAATCAACTATTAGAAAACTGTAAAACAATTATATAACACACAGTGGTTTACAAAAACAAATTTACAAAAAATAAAAACAACTACAAATGAACGAAATCAGTTATAAAAGAAATGGTAAACAATTATAAATTGTGTAAATCAACACAGAATATCGAAAACAATTATAAAACTACTGTAAAGTTCTCGACAATAATTATAAAATAAATTAAAATAGCAAAACCCGAAATCAACTAAAAAGTAACGGAAACAAGTATAAACAAAATTGAAAAACATCATAGCAAAAATGATATAA